CCACATCCACTGCCTTATCAACAGGAACGCACGTAAAGAGCGATGTAACATCAAAAGAGACCAGATGATCCGAGACGCGGAGGATGCGGCGCGGAGTGTGTGATTGGTTCAAAGTTTGTGGTCGTTTTTGTGTTGTGTGACACCGCTACCCGCTACTCGCTACCAGAAGCCGGTTTTTATTTCTAAACATGGATAGTTTCGAAAAGAAACTCACCGAGGCGGAGGTGGTCCGACGTACAACCATCTGTGATTGCGTTGCTGCGTGCTGAAGGTGAGGGGAGATCCAGTGGGCAAAAAAAAAAAAAAAAGATCCGGTGGGCAAGTTCCTTGAAAGAAGCAGCGGACATTTGAAAATAGGAGAAGTGTTTTTCGTCATCCATCTCCCGCATCTCCCGCACAAGCTAAATTCGCAACTAGCAAGTTTTTTTAGCAACTAGCACTTATTTACATGCTAAGCTAGCATGTGACGTCTGCGGTGGGAGAGCAGAGGGAGGGATTACTATAATGTATCCCCCACGTCTTATAAACACTGTGTGCTGTCGGTGACATACACGCAATTACATCCTCGCTAGGCCGCAGCCGCACATCTTGCATGAAGTGTAAACAAACCTTGTCTTGCTCCCTAGCATAAACATATCCGTTCCGCACTTTTTCCATGGTCACCCCAGAAATGGTGTTGTKTTCAGGGGCTCCCTGTGGTTCTGTCTCTCCTGGCAGCATGCCCTGTAGTTAAGAACCAACTTTCAGTTTCTGGATGAGGCCTGGCCACCCCACAAACTGCCGTGCCCGTCCCAACACTTGACCACACCTTGATGTCCTTCATGCAACTTTGCAAGAAAATCATTTCTCATTGCAGWAGGAATAATGAGTCTTTGTCCCTTTAGTAGTAGACCATCCTGAACTGTAATAAGAGATCATTCAGCCCAGTATGACTTTAGTACTGGTTCTTTATTGTTGTTCGTAGGCAAGCCTTCTTTGCACAGCTTCGTCATGCYCACACACACACTGTCCCTCTGCAGCTGGTCCTTCAGTTCCTCCAAATAGGCAGTACTCACAAGTAGATTGATCATTACCATGTCTATGTAGATGTTTGTGTCTTCAAACAGCTCTTTGTCTGTGGGTGTTTCACCTCTTTCAACTGGTGCTCGTGACAGAGTATCTACTGTCCAGACATTTCCCTGCCACATGTGCTATAGAATAAGAATAGCGAATGAGACYCATTCTGAAGTGTTGGATTCGAGGAGGTAMGGAATCCAGTGGTTGTGACCCCAGGAGACTTAAAAGAGGCTTGTGATCCATCTCCAGCTGGAAGTGTTTCCCAATCAGGAAGTTTTGGAACTTCTTGCAGGCCCAGGTCAGACCCAGTTCCTCCTTCTCCACCTGTGCGTGTCTTTGCTCAGTTGGTGTGAGAGACCGCGATATATAGGCTATCGGCATCCACTCCTCACCCCATTTTTGAAGCAGCACTCCTCCCCATATAATGATGCATCTGCTGAGACCCTCCCTTTAACAGTCCCTTTTAAGATCATACATAGCTAGAACTGGTGGCGATGACAGTGCCTCCTTCAGAACTTGAAAAGCTTTTGCCTGCTTGACACCACACATCCAGCAGTTCTTTTTCAACAGATCACGCAGGGGTTTGTCTCTCTCTGCCAGCTATGGAATAAACTTGCCCATCTGATTTACCATCCCCAGAAAGGATCTTACTTCACTCACTGTTGTCGGCTCTTTCATCCTCTTCACAGCCTCTGTCTTGCCTGGATCTGGGCTGATGCCGTTGCCAGAGACCACAGGACCTAGGTAAATTACAACAGTCTTAGACAGATCACATTTTTCCATGTTCAACGTGATACCTGCCTTCTGGATTTTCTGTAAAACTGCATGCAGGCGAGCGTCATGCTCCTATTGAGTACAACCCGACACRAGCACATCATCAATGTGGCACACCACTTCTTCGAGCCCTTCTGTGCCTTCTGTCACCATCCTGTTCTGAAAGTGCTCAGGAGCTGATGCTATGCCGAACAGTAATTGTTTGAAGAAAAAACCTCCAAAGGGTGTGATGAATGTTGTTAGTTTTGCTGAYTCTTCTGTTAGGTTAGGGGAATTTGCCAAAACCCCATATTGGCATTCAACTTACTAAAATTTTTTCCTCCAGCCAGCTTTCCAAGTGTTTCCTCCACTGATGGCAGGATGAACTTCTCTCGACACACTTACTCATTCAGTTTGGTTAGATCCACACATATGCGCACAGCCCCTGTCTTTTTAGGCACCACCATGATGACAGCGCACCAGTCCATTGGCTCCACAACTCTACATATCACACCGGGGCTTTCCATGCGAGACAGTTCATGCCTGACTTTGTCCATCAATGGCAACGGGATCATCCTTGGTGTTTTAATGAGAACGGRTCTGTCCCTGGTTTTAYCTTTATGGCATATGGCTGGTGTATTTCKGCAAGTCCACTGCATAGCTTTGGGTAAGTTTGTTTTAGTGACTCCATGRTAACACTTTCTAGGCATGCAACTAGCCCCAGCCTACAGCTCACAGGTCTTCCCAACAGTGCAGTGTGCAGGTGGCGAGCAATGTACACATCCTCCATGTCTTCTTTCCTACCTCTCTTAAGCAGCAGCTTGGCAATGCCCACAACATSAAGTGGACCCCTATCTGATCCCAAGAGTGATTTAGAAGCTTTTTGGAGCATGGGTGGACTGTCTTTAAATATGTTCTGAAACACAACATGCAGCAGAACAGTGACATCTGCACCTGTATCGATTTTAAATGTCACACTAATGTTGAGAATGTTTATTTTCACCATCCAAGGATCACCATCTGTTGTGATGCTGCCAAGGAAGGTGGCATCTTCATCGTCTTCCTCCACCTCATGCACCTACTTAGATGTCCTGCACACATGGCTATAATGCCCTTTTCTGCTACGAGTGACATTTCATTTGCAGGACAGTCACGTTTAGGATGTGATGGAGAACTACCACATTTTTGACACTTGTGACTGTGAAGCTTTTCCTTTGCTGTTTTGAGCTTTGTGTGTCTTATTGACATGCTGAGGTTTATTTTTTAGCAATCTTGCTTTTTTGGACTCTCTGACTCTGTCCAAAAACTTAGCATCACAAGCCTGTGCTMTGGAGTCTCCTTGCAGAGAAGCTTGCKATTTTTTCACTTCCTCACTTTGACGTGCCATCCTCACTGCTTTATCTAATGTAAGTTCTGTGTCAAGCTGCACATGTTCGGAGAGCCCTTTGTCCAACAGTCCAATAACAAGTCRGTCTCTAATTAGCTCATCGTGTAACACCCCATAGTTAAAGTGTTCTGCTAACGCAAATGACACGACGAACAAATCCACAGACTCTTCTTTGTGTTTCCGCATGTTAAACTTAGAACGCTCAAATATTACATTTTTCTTTACAATGAAGAATCTTTGAAAGCTATCATGTACCCCCTTGTAAGTGCCTCTATCAGCAGTCGTCAGTGTTAACCCGCGTGAAATGTTGTCCGCCTCATCGCCCATGCAGTAAATCAGCGTGTTTATCTGATTCTCTTCGGAACTTGCATTTAGGTTACCTATCAGGTGAAATCTTTCAAATCTTCTGATCCATTTGTCCCACTCTTGAGGTTTTGAAAAGTCAAAGGACTCTGGTGGCTGGATATTGAACATAGCAAATAATCCTGGGCCCACTGCAACTCTATGCAGTGCTGCTGCCGACAGCTCCCCCATCCTGGCGCTGCTCACATTTTCTCCGTCACTTWTTTCGTAGTTTTTTCTTCTTCTAGGCGTACAAACTGACAGGATTCTCCTATTCACATAGCTACCGGACTTCTGACACGTCATGTTATTAAATTATCCACGAGTCTGACTGTTAGCTTAATGTGGCGGTATTCACTCTCGAAAAAACAAAACTGAAAAAAACATTCCCCGTCCCACTCTGATGACATCACACTAGTGCGTCTCTGTCTTTACTAAATACTTAGTTACACCACAGAAATGACCTGCTTTCAAACACCYCTACTTGTGATGTCACAAGTCACACTCCAGCCCACCCCAACCTGAGCCCAGCTCGTCTCCTGCAGAGACTCCACCCACTTCTTCACAGGACGGTTCTGCTGTTTTAGAACAATTATGGAGAACAGATGGCAATGTTCTAGCAATATTAAAGAATATTTGTGTAAATAATTTCACCATGAACTACTTTGGAAAAATAGTACTTTCAACTGAAAAGAAATTGAAAGGAAACTGAAAGTTATCTTCTGGCGGAGGGCAGAGCTAACGTAAACAAAAGGTTGGGAGGGGGTATCCATAGCAACTTATGCAAAACAACAGGTTCTGAATAGAGATGAAGAACAGCCAGAACTGAGAAAGTGAAATTTCATTATCTGGGATTCATTTTGTTAATTAAATCAAATGAACATGTTTTGTGTAGCCCACAGATGGATCCTAACTTGTTCTAGGACCTCCATATTAGGTCTCCTTTAATAAAATACAATAAAGATGAACAATGATTGTTTCATTTCACACTAACTAATGTGTCTTCATATTTGCAACAAAAAKTATGCATGACGTTCACTGAAAAATGACCTACATTATGAGAATATTATTTAAAAATGTGAATAATTTGTTCTTTGTGAATTTGTACTGAACATTTTTAAGTTATAGGATCAAACTGAATTTTAAAATGTTTCACTTTCTTCTGTTTATGTAAATGATTTTTTTACAAAAATCTTGGTTACGTTGGTTATTAATGGTCCACAAGGTCAACAATGGGAACTATTGCTAAAAATAATTTAGATAAAAAGATCCCAGCTAACCTGATTTATGCTTTACCTACATTCTTACTGACGTTTAAAACAACTGAGAATTTCTTCAGAATTTACACGCGTTCAAAAACAAACCAAGTTTAATGAGAYAAACAGAGATTTTGAACACTTTCAGGTGTAACATGTTCGTAATGATCTGTGTTAACAGGGGACAWGAAGCCTGTTTTATATTTAAATTATGACTCAGTGCTTAAGAAACCCATTTTCCCAGATTTTTATGTGTTTGTTTCCTGTCGTGATTAAATTAGGATTTTTTGCTAAAATGGTCAATAAGGGAGAGGAACTTGTATGATCAGATATAAAATAAACATGCTTTAATCGTTTTGGGAGAATCTTTAATCAAGCTAAGAATGTTACTTCTCTTTYWTTGAACGTTTTTACTAATTAGTGTCAGGGTACAACATTTGCATGATTGACTCTTACAGTTAAAACATTTCAAGATGGCTYCCTTAGCACAGTCTTTTTTCACAAATATTGAGCTAAATTTTGATGTTGTAGTGAAACAGTTATTGCCAACACATAATAAGAATGAGATTCATTCACAAAGTTTTTTTAAGACCATAACTTTGTCATCTCTCACCATAAGCTAAATGTTGAGAAATGATTTTAAAAGTTGGTACAAACTGCCATTCTGAACCTCATAAAAGGTGAATTARGAAAATATAATGTGCTTCCTTGGATCTTTTCTGGTCTGTCTGTAACATAAAAAACTAGATGCATGAGAAATGTGTGAAAAGTAGGAAGGCCTTGGTTTCCATCAAAACAAGGTAGAACATAGGCCAACCAAAAAGTCCCTAATTGTAGAAGGTTGAACCGATATTTGTTTGCGTATGAACGATGTAGCTCCAATATCAGTACTTGGAGTTGCATTTTTTTATTTTACGTCTTATAACAGCATAAACTTCATCAGCTAAGTTGCTAAACTTACTTATAAAAACAAATTCTTCGGTCCGTGATGAATTTCCAAAGTACGCCGACTCTTTAAAAAAATTAAAACTCCACCGTCTTCACTTCTATGTTTAGTTTGCTGTCAGCACATTGAATCCTGGGTTATCCTTGGCAAGTGAAGATACACGGATGCATCCTTGGMTTTTGAGATTATGTGGATTCCTTGGCCAAATGAGGAGGAGCTTGGGACAGCACTCTTCAAGGGGCAGTAATGTATGAGGCCGACAAATGTGTGCTCATGAGAATGCAGACCATAAATTGAAACTCATCCATGGTAACTCTCCGAGCAGCATGGCTGCTACACACACTGATTAATGTCACCGCTATCACTACACAACTCCTTCAACCAAACCATGATTTATGTCACRACTGTCTGTACACAACTCCAACAACCAACCAATGATTTATGTCACCAGTGTCCGTARAAAACTCCAAAAACCAATCCATGCTTTGTCACCAGTGTCTCTACACAACTCCAACAATCAACCAATGCTTTATGTCACCAGTGTCTCTACATAACTCAAACAACCTATCCAGGCTTTATGTCACTACTGTCTCTAGACAACTCCAACAACCAACCCATGCTTTATGTCACCACTGTCTGTACACAACACCAACAACCAACCAACGCTATATGTCACCACTGTCTCTACACAACTCCAACAACCAGTCCATGTTTTATGTCACCACTGTCTACACAACTCCAACAATCAACCAATATTTTATGTCATTACTGTCTACACAACTCCAACAACCAATCCATGATTTATGTCATCACTGTCTCTACACAACTCCAACAATCAACCCATGCTTTCTGTCACCCCTGTCTCTACACAACTCCAACAACCAACCATTGCTTTATGTCACCACTGTCTCTACACAACTCCAAAAACCA